ATTAATCTTTTTAGTAACCTGAAAAGGGTTGTAGTATTTTAATTTTCGATCACCTTGTCTTTTCATTTTAACAAACACTTTCCCATTAACGGAAAAGGTAGGAATTGGTTTAGTATTTTTATGGTATAATTATCGTGATTTTTTCTGAATTGGTTTGTTTGTTACGCTTAGCATTTTCCCTGCTTTGCGCAATGGTTTCGTTACGTGTTGAAAGATCGATTTCTGATTCGTTTTCTCTACTATCCGTATTTAATTGTGCAGGTTTTATTCCAAACATTATTTCATAAGGAGTGTAATTATGTCCATCATTAATTGATAGTTATTTAAATTTTGCTTTTGATTAACGTATAATGTTTGGCATGATTCTATTACGGTTGAAACAAGCCTTTCAACTGAGCCGTTACTTTGGAGATAATAAATATAACTCTTAGTTCACTTTATATTTAAATATTTAACCAATTTTGCAATTGTCTTATATAGAAATTTAGTGCCCTGATCGCTGTGAATTCTTTTCGGGAAACCAAATGCAGAAAAGTATTTCAATACAGATTTTTTGAAAATAAGCCTGAAATTACTTCATATGAAGGATAAATTTGACAGAATTAACTTAGATCATCTTGAACAATTAATATATGAATTTATCGATTTCATTCTTTGAGTTCTGCTGTATCGACATTTAATCTTTCGTTAACGTTATCTGGTGTTTTAGGGATTACAAGTGGTGTCTTGTGAGATATTCTATCCGTCTTATGTTTAACGCAGATTTCACACGAATTTATTACTCTAGCCGTAAGATCATTCATACCTGAAAAACTATGTTCTTCCTTTACTTTATTTATGTTTCTGTAATACCTTTATGGTTATTTAATGGATGTTCATGGTAGTTTTTTATTATACTTATTTTAATTTCTTCTGGTAAGGGAATTTTCATGAATCGTGATACCATGACAGTTTTATTATGACCATGCTATTCTATTATTTTATCTAAATTATCTTCAGGGTTAACAATGAGGATTATTTCGTTAGGGAATAATGTTAGCATACTCTGAATATTTAACTTGAAATTATTTTCTGAGATAGTATTATCAATTACTAAAGTTTTTCCTGTGGATATCTGAGTAGTAACTTCGAAATCACGGAATGGGGTTTTCAAATCGGTATCGGCTATAATAGAATTTATTTGTTTTTTACAGTTATATTTATCACATCAAAATCATCCAGTTTTGGATTGATTACATATTTCAATGGGGTACAATTTTGTTCTGAACTATTACTACTTAGGTTATTAGTATGTTTTCTTTCGTTTTGTTCCTCATCAACATAAATTCTGGATTAAGCATCCGAACTTGTATTTAATCGATCTGGCTTATAAATTATTTCGTAGCCGTACTCAGAAATTTTCAGTCTCCAACGCATCAAACTTTAACACTAAATAACCACTTTAAGGGTTGATGGTCTGTAATAATTTTGAATTTTTTACCTTACAGGTAAGGCCTAAAATGTTTCAATTCCCTAACAATTGCCAAAAGTTGTCGTTCAGTCGTTGAAAAGCGTATGCGATTGGTCAAGAGTTTTTTTCGTGTCCTTATGATAGGACAGCTCCAACAGCAAATTTACTTACATCTGTTGTAAGTACAAATTGTTTATTAAAATTTGGGTATTATAGAATTGGTTAAGAGATAAGACAGTCACGTAATTTTTCAAAAGATTCTTGTTCTTTTTGAGTCTATAAAAATTTTGTATCCTTTTTTAACAACATTGTTAGTGGTTTAGAGATGAGCGCGTAATTGGGTATAAATTTACGATAATACCCAGTTAAGCCGAAAAATTGTTTAATGTTGTTCGTATAGGGATTTTTTTTATACATTCGACTTTATCTGGATTAGGTTTTAAAACTTCGCTCTTATCGAGTTGAATTCTTAATCTATGTTTTCTTAGTCTTTCAAAAACCGTAATTAATCGATTATTATGATCCTTAAAATTTTTACCAAAAATAATGATGTCATCTATATAAACTAGACACTGCTCGGGTGTTAATCCTCGAAGAGCCAAATACATACACCGTTGGAATGTTGCCCGAGCATTTTTCAATCCGCAAGGCATCTTTAAGTATTCAAAATGTTGACCGTTTGCGGAGAAAACCGTTTTTGAAATCGATTCTTTGCTTACTTTAATTTGGTGGAACCCGGAAGTGAGATCTAAAGCGGAAAAATATGTTGACTGGCCTAAATCGTCTAGTATTTCCTCTATATTTGGAAGGGGGTATTTATCATCAACTGTTTTTTAATTTAATTTCCTGTAATCGATCACCATACGCCATTTAGTTTTACCACTAGCGTCTTTCCTTTTAGGGACAATCCACAGGGGAGAATTCCACTGTGAAAATGACAGTCTAATTATTTTATCTTTAAGCAATTTATCAATTTGATTTTTTACTTCTTCCTAGTGAATTTTGGGATATCGATAGGTTTTTGCCTGTACGGGAATCTCATCTGTTGATACTATTTTATGTTCTAAAATGTCTGCTGTCGATAATAAATCATTAGATAAATGAATACTATTAATAATAGAATCCTTTTCCTTCGAATTGCAATGTTCTAAACATAATTGTTTCATGAGTTCCTTAATTCTTTGTTTATTTGGTTATGTTGGCTCGTATTGGTATTTACATAATGAATTATACTAATATCAGGTAATGGAAAAAGATTTGTTTTCAGATTCTAAAAATTGTGTATCGTTCGATAAATTTAGACAAGTTGTTGTTATGTATTTTTTGTGATCTGTTTTGACGTAACACTCAGGTATTAAAATTTCGTTTTCGATGTTTATGCGAGGAAGATAGTATTCTGTGGTAGGTTTGGAGTTATTAGCAAAAACTTTTATCAACTGTTCACAACGAGGTAATAAATTATAATTAATTAATAATTATTATAATTTGTTTTTTATTATTAATTTTAAAAGGAATAAACACATCTTCATTAGGTATTATAATTTTATTCTGTTGGTTATCAATAACTGCTCTAGTTGTTTGAAAGAATTCTTGTCCTAAAATTCCGTCTATGCCTAGACAGTTTTTATCCAAAACATGAAATGTAATGGGTATTTTACTAATCCGTGTTTCAAAAGAACCTTTTGTTTCGAATGGTTGACCATTTATTCCCGAAAGTTGCGTTTTTTCATTAGTATTTAATTTAGGTACATTAGGAAAGGTTTGTAATAAATTAACGTATGCGCCAGTGTCAACTAAAAGACTTAGTCTTTTGTTAAATAAATTTACCTTTTGGTATGAAGATGGAATTTTGAATTCTGTATATTGCAAATATTATTTGAGGGACTTAAATAATTTAGTTTTCGGCTTCCGGACGCTCGGTTTCGGAGTCCGTGAAGGAGTTTAAATCATTATTATTAACATTACTATCATTAATGTCACTATCATCATCAGATTGTGCTTGTTCGGGAATTTTCATAGCTGCTCTACGCTTCTTTTTATAACAATCTTGCTCTCTGTGACCTACTTTATGGCAATAATTACACGTAATACTTTTATTTATTGTATTTTTATTATCGTAGTTATTATTTACAGTAAGATTAAAGGTACTTCGTCTTTTCTTATTCTCTGACCATTTCGATTTTTTTTTGTTATCTTTGAAAGTCTTTATTTGTTTTGATGACTCTCGATACGTTTGTTCCGTCTGTCTAAAATTGATTACCTGTTTAAACTGTAAACAAGCATCTAATGACCTTCCTAAATTTGGATAATTGTTTTCTATGGCCAAATTATTAACTACTGATTTTCCTCAAGGCGATGTATTTTTCCGATGGAAGTGGTATCAGAACAGGGTGGCATAAAGTTGACCATTCACGCTTGAATANACAAAGAAGATAGCATTAGCAAGAATGCAAATGCTAATTCTAGTTCAAATTATTGCTACAGGTGTGGTAGCAAGGAGCATTATTCTCCTAAATGCAAAGTCCCTAAAGATGTCACGTGCAATATTTGGGTTACTTGAATTCAGAAGCAGAAGAAATTCTTGTTAGAGAGTCAACGCAACAAGAAAAACGTGGAAAATTTCTGAAGCAGCTGGAAGTCAATGGTTTACAGTGTCACGGTAAACCCGCAGTTGATGGTGAACGAATTTCCGTTACCAACAGCTGATTTGCTTACGATAAATACGCATCGTGGACTTTATCGTATGAAGCGCATGATGTTTGGCATTGCGGCGGCGCCTGCCATTTAGCAAGAGAATATGAATTTCCTTTTTGGAAAAATTAAGGGCGTTCGCGTTTATCAGGATGATATTAGGTTGGTCGCTTCTAGCTTGGAAGGTCTTGTTGATTTACTAAATAAGGTTTTGAAAATTTTGAATGATCACAATATTAAAATACAGTTAAGTAAATGTGTATTCTTTGAAAATTCGATTAAATATTGTGGATATATTATTGATTCTAATGGTATCCACAAGGATCCTTCCAAAATAGAAGCGCTAGCTAAGATGCCAAAACCTACGAATATTACACAGTTACGTTCTTTTATAGCGTTTATAAATTATTATAATAGATTTATTCCGAATTTGAGTAGGATTTTGCAGTTTTTTTTCTTGCTTTTGCATAAAGGCGTAAATTTTAAAGAGTCTTGGACTAGTAAGCATGACCGTGCTTTTGATGAAGCTCGCGAGGCTTTTTCGCGAGATACGTGTTTAACCTTTCATGATCCGACCAAGCCATTGATACTTGCGACGGATGCAAGCCCAACAGGAGTAAGCGCGGTTTTGTCTCATAAATTTGAGGATGGCTCGGAAAGGCTAATTATTTGCGTTTCGCAAACGCTAAATGCAGTCTAAGCAAAATACACTCAAATTGATCGGGAAGCTTATGCGATAGTTTTTGCGGTAAAGAAATTGCACCAGTATCTTTACGGTGTGAAATTTACTTTGTTTACGGACAATCGTCCGCTGGCGCAAATTTTTGACCCAAATAAGAGTTTACCCGTGTATAGCACAATGCGTATGCAGCATTACGCGATTTTCCTTCGTGGATTTAATTATGACGTGAAATACAAACGGTCGGAACAGAACGGCAACGCCGACGGGTTATCGAGATTACCCGTGCCGAATTGCGATGAAAACGTGGATGTTGTAAACGTTTTTCATTTTGATACCTTGGATACGTTATCCTTGAATGTTTTTAAAATAAAAGAGGCGATCGCGAATGATAGTGTAATTTCGAGAGTGATGACGGCGTTAATCCAGGGTCATAGATTAAATGCGAAAGATATCTGGAATATTAATCCTAGGGAATTTTCTGTCGAAAATGGTGTGCTAGTTCGAAACCATCGAGTAGTTGTACCTACTAGTTTGCGTGCTAAGATCCTGAGCGAATTACACTCAGGACATTTCGGAATTGTGAAAATGAAGTCGTTGGCTAGGAGTTATTGTTGGTGGCCCAGCATCGACAGAGATATTGAACATCTCGCTAATGATTGTCCGAATTGTTTGTTGAATTTGAATAACCCTGTGAAGGTTACTAAGCATGTGTGGGAGCCAGCAGTGACCCCTTTCGAGCGAGTACATGTGGATTTTGCGGGCAAGTTTTTAAATCATTATTTTTTTATTTTAGTTGATGCGTTTTTTAAATGGCCCGAAATTCACATAGTGAAAGACATGCTTGCGGAGAATACCGTTTCAATATGTAGGGAGATTTTTGCAAATTTCGGTTTATCCGAGAATTTAGTTTCCGGCAATGGGAAAACTTTTGTTTCGAATACGTTTGAAGATTTTTTAAAGGAAAACGGAATTCTCCACAAGTTCTCTGCGCCTTATCATCCAGCTACAAATGGGCAGGCGGAGAGATATGTACAGATGATCAAAGCTGCGTTGAAAAAGATGAATGATCCGAAAAACATTCATAATGATGTACAAAAGATTTTGTTTCAATACAGAAACATGGTTCATCCTCACACTGGCAAAACTCCAGCTGAGCTTTTCCTCGGAAGGAAACTAAGATGTAAGCTTGATTTGTTAAAACCTTCGGTAGAAGTTAGGAGTTTCAACTCCGTTAATGATAACTTGAAAGTTAAGAGATTTTATGTGGGGCAAAATGTAATTGCCCGTAATTATATCGGTAAGCAGAAAAGGGTTTTCGGTAAGATTAAGGCCGTAACCGGTAAATTGAACTATTGTATTCAGCTGGAGGATGGTAGTGTGTGGAGGAGGCATGTCGATCAAATTAGATCAGCGAAAAATATGCGAAACTCAAGTGCGTTTGAGAAGGCTGATGATGATGATTGGGATTTTTATATTCCACCCGAGGAGAGGTTGATTCTCGGGGCGAGTACTGTTGAGCCCGTTGCTCAAAATGAAAGTTTTGTAAACGCAGATGTGCCGGATTTTTCGGATGGTCCTAGCACAAGTTCTCCAAATGATCCTGTTGTGTATTTACCTTTATTTTTCGATAATCAGTCCGAAAAATCTCACGCATCACATGAGGTCGTCGAGATTACGAGCGACGAATCTGAGGTGTCACCTGAAGTTGTAAATAGGCCGAAGAGGAATGTTAAAGCGCCTGATTTATATGGTAATCCTGTAAAAAACATCTCAGAATTAGGATTAAGTGACATTGATTAAAAATATTATACCGCCACTTCCTTCATTTTTCGTGGGGGAAGTGTTGTGTACGCGTGAAGCATACCGTTTGTATGTGTATGCGTGTGCGTGTGTGCTCTTGGAGCGACAAGAGCGGTGCGCGCGCTTAGGCTAACGCTGCCACAGGCAGACCGCATTTAGCAGCCAAGTAAGTCACTCGTATGTATTCACCACCTATTATTTATTAGTTAATAAATATAGAAATTAGTTATAACTCTGTGTACGCTTACTGCAGTAACGCTACACCACAATTCCCTATATACACAACAGATTGTTTCTCAAAATATGTGTGGATGGAGGCTATTAAAGACAAATCGGCAAACGAAGTTGTTAATGGCATGAAGCGGATATTGAAAACTTTAGATTCTATTCCTAAAAATCTACAAACCGATTAGCGAATAGAGTACTACAACCAACAGTTTAAATCGCTCATGGAAAAATATAAAATTAACAATTATAGTAGTTATAGCGTGAAAAAGGCATCGATTGTTGAACGCGTAATTAGAACTATAAAAGCCAAATTATTTAAAATCGTTGGATAGATGTAATTGATGATGTTACAAATGATAATAATAACACAATACGAGGGTGGATTGATAAGTTTCCGGCCTAACCAAGAGATGACGCCACTAGGCCTACCTTGAGGTGACATTCTATAGTACCATCCTTGGATAGCTTGTAGCTATAGTTTCAGCCCGATCTCCTTGCTAGTGTAGGTTTGACAGCACGCTGAACAAGACGCCTCTGTGGTTTTCGTAAAAATGGAAAAGCAGGAAAATCGTGCTGTCATCAAATACTTTTATTTGAAGGGGTTAACGCCGAAGGAAATTAAAAAAGAGATGGACTCAACACTGGGGACATCCTCCCCGTCATATTCAACCGTTAAGCAGTGGGTTTCCGAGTTTAAAAAGGGTCGTGTGAGCACCTCTGATGGGCCTCGCTCAGGACGCCCCGTTGAGGTCACAACTCCAGATATGATCGAAAAAATTCATCAAATAGTGCTGGGAGACCGCAGATTGAAAGTGCGTGAGATAGCTGAGACCTGTAAGATGTCATATGAACGTGTGCAACATATTTTGCACCAACATTTGCATATGGAAAAGCTCTGTGCAAGATGGGTGCCGCGTTTGCTAACAGTCGACCAAAAATTGATTCGAAAAAACATTTCTACCGCAAATTTGTCATTGTATAAGCGTAATCCAAGCGAATTTTTGCGTCGATTCGTAACCGTTGACGAAACGTGGGTCCACCACTACACTCCTGAAACCAAAGAACAGTCTAAACAGTGGATTGGACCAGGGGAACCAACTCCAAAGAAGGCAAAAACAATTTTTTCGGCGAACAAGGTTATGGCTACTGTTTTTTGGGATGCAAGAGGTATTATATACATTGATTACCTTGCAAAGGGTAATACTATCACTGGTCAATACTACGCAGACTTATTGCAACGTTTGAGCCACGAGGTGAAAATTAAACGACCTCATCTGGCGAAGAAAAAAATCTTGTTTCATCACGATAACGCACCAGCGCACACGTCAATCGTTGCGACGGCTAAAATCAACGATCTAAAGTTTGAATTGATGCCGCACCCTCCTTACTCTCCAGACCTAGCCCCGAGTGACTATTTTCTGTTCCCTAATCTCAAAAAATGGCTTGGCGGTAAGAGATTTGCGGACAATGAAGAAGTAATCGAAGCTGTAAATGGTTATTTTGAGGAGCTTGACGAATCAGTCTATAGAGATGGCATTAATAGACTGGAACACCGCTATGAGAAATGTATCAGCCTTGGAGGAGATTATGTTGAGAAATAAAAAAAAAAAATTTTTAAAAACCTTGTTTTTCTTGGTCAGGCCGGAAACTTATCAATCCACCCTCGTACATAGAACTATAAAAATGACACCTGCCACAGCTTTGAATAAGCAAAATGAAGAATATCTTCTCAATTCAGCATATAATCATAGTAAAATGGTAGATGGTCTTCCAAAATTTCATGTAGGCGATATCGTGAGAATAATTAAGGTCAAACATGTATTTTCCAAATCTTACACTCCCAACTGGACAACGGAACTATTCAAGGTAGTGAAAACTAAATATATTTATCCCTATACGTATTTATTAGAAGACTTGAGTGGTAATCCTGTTAGTGGCGGCTTCTATGCGGAAGAGTTACAAAAAACCTCGCATCCGGACATATATTTAATAGAAAAAGTATTAAAACGAAAAGAGAAGAAACTTCTGGTTAAATGGTTAGGATTTCCCGAATAACAAAACATCTGGATAAATACGACAGACGTTGTAAAGATATAACCAATAATGGACTACATAATAGACGTTCAAGGTTTCCAAACTGAAGGCCCCCGCTTTGTCGCGAAAGAAATTGCTATCGCATCTTTACAAGAAGAAGAAGAAGTAAAAACCTTTGTATTGAAACCGCCGTTTCCTCATCATCTGTTAGCCCCACGATATAAAACCATAAACGAATTGGTAAAATGACATTAACATGGTATTGGTTGGAATGATGGTTATTTGGATTACAATATTTTGCATAATAATGAAATCTAAAAGATTTTTGCGACTGCTGAAACCGTATACGTAATGGGAACGAAAAAGCGACTGTGGTTTCTCGAAGAATTTCCCGACTGCCGAAATATAATCAATTTAGAAGAAATGAAATATTTCCCATCGCTCGTGAAATTACAGTAGAGGGGCTAACGGGTTCCCATATATGGGTCACGGCTCCCCAAATCTGGGCCATGGTCCATCCATCAACATCTTACCAATTTTGGATCTTTAGAAGGTCTCTCTAGGTCATTCTTCATCTTAAGAGGTTAGACCATGCCCCTTTTGTCAACAATACCNGTGCGTGCGTGCGTGCGTGCGTGCGTGCGTGCGTGTGTGCGTGCGTGCGTGCGTGCGTGCGTGCGTGCGTGCGTGGGTGTGTGTGTGCGTGGGTGTGTGTGTGTGTGTGTGTGTGTGTTGAAATTGAAACCTTTCTCGAAGATGTTCCTTCACTTATTTGAGCAAAGGTACAAGTCGGTAGATTTTCTATAAAGTATTGCTTAGTTGTTCTCACAAGAGAACACTTATAAGACTAACTATCGCTCTTAAAATTCCTTCCCACGTCACCGCTAAGGGTTGCGTATGTTTATCTTATCTGCGTGGGAAGAAGATACAGATCGCCACCCCAAGCAGAACTAAAGGTTAGAAGTACCCATAATTACACTTTACCATAAAATATAACTTAAATAATAATAATGGCGTTTACTGCGCCATTTGTAGTATTTTCTAAAACGCACTGTAGCAGCAGATAAAAGTTGGTCTGTGTTCTGTCGGAGCTGCCTGCCACTCGCTGATGAGATACAAAAAGATCGAAATCGGGATCCGCGTCTGGCAGTTTTGACACACTTCGAATTATTTTATTTTAACGCACTTGTTGCAATCATTTCCGGAAAATGGGAACCACCGCGGTTTTACTAATTTAAAGCATCCCGGACAACAACAGCAACAGCATAATAACACTACAATCACCGAACCCAAAATTGATAAAAGTATTTATAAAAGTATTTTCCGCCAAGAACGACGTAAGTTCGACAAACGGTTTTAGTTTTTCTTTATAAATTTCACTTTCTATGCTCTTCAGTCGATGTTTATCTAGAAGCAGTTCCTCTTTGTTGATATTATGTATTGAAATTAGAAGCTACTTAACATCTGTTTTAACGGATTCACTAACACAACAATCTTCAGGAATTTATACGAAATTGTTGGTTAAATTTTTCTTTAACGTGTCATTTTATTTATAGAGTTTATTTTGAAATTGTTTCCAGTGCAAGGGGAATGTGGTGTCACAACATTAGACTGTAGTATTTTTGTTGTCTTCATATGTTTCTCGTCACATTTGTAGGTGAAATCCAAAGGTTTCGTAAGCAATATTAACCACTGATTTTCCTCAAGGCGATGTATTTTTTCCGATGGAAGTGGTATCAGAACAGGGTGGCTATTTCACTTTGATAAATCTTTGCTTTCTTTTTAAACAGTTTATTCACACACACTAATCCTAACTTATATCCTAACACTACAACTAGAATAACAAATAAGTAAGAACAAACATGAAACAAAATATATACAGTGAAAAATACAAATACAGGCAAGAAAATATATATATACAAACAAAAAGTCTGAGCAAGACCAAAAAACGCCGATTGAAACACTTACTCTACAAACTGGCACTCGGAGGCTAACGGCTAGGTGAAAGCAAAGAAAACGGGGGTGGCTGGTGATGGAACTCCTTCTTCCTTGCCGTGGGTCGGTGGAATATTGGAGCTGCTGGTACTGAAAAAAAAAAACTTTTGGGTGTTTCATTCCCAGTGATGCTGGTGGGCGGGCAGTCCCTCCGGACTATGCCGGAAGGTAGGGCGGAAGGCCCTCTTCAGCCTGCTTTCAGGAGTCGTGGGAATGGGTGGGTGGTGGATCAGGTGAGAAAGATGAAACGGGCGAAATGAAGACAGAAGAGAATGAAAGATTATCTGTGGAATATTACTGCCTCAGCATTTGCCTAAGTGATCCAAGGAAACCACAGAAAAAACTTGGACCAAGGCAGACGGACCCGGAATCGAACCGGCGTCCTCCCGAATGCTAAGCAATGGTCTAGACCTCTAGGCCATGCCGCTCG